CGAGTAGAAGGAAAATAAAGAATGAGAAGAACAATTTGAGGGGATTTTTCTAAGTATTTTGCGAAGAGTCCATGGAGAAGATGAGCTCTCTCTCTCTTCTCGGCCTCCTCTCTCTCTCTACGCCCCTTTGGCCTCAAGGATTCCTCCTTTCTCTGTTTTCGAGTTTCGTTCTTTATAGTGGAGCGAAGCTGTTTAGATCAGCATCCCCGCACTGAAGATTCTCCAAAAATCACGAAAACCCATCTCTTCCCGCTCGCGACGTGCACGTCCTTCCTTCCTTCTTCTTCTCCCGTTTTCTGCGCCACTACGCTGCTTATAGTGGAGCGAAACTGTTTAGATCAGCATCCTCGCACTGAAGATTCTCCAAAAATCACGAAAACCCATCTCTTCCCGCTCGCGACGTGCACGTCTTTGCTTCCTTCTTCTTCTTCCGTTCTCTGCGCCACCACGCTCTTTTTTCTTTTTTCTTTTTTTTTTTTTGCTGGATAAATAATTAATGAAGAAATTACAAAAATGCCCACATTCTGGGCGTTACAATATATACTCGGGTCTCTCTTCTTTTGATTTTGATTAATAACTTATAATATGAAGAAAATTGATTTATCATCAAGTTTGTAAAAGATGAATTTTTTTCTTTGAAGAAAATTTTCATTGCTAGTTGTTGATAATTGTAACGAGAATAAAAAAACTTTAATAATTAAAATATAATATCATAAGACGATATGATCAATTAGGTTTAATTTTTAAATTTTTAATTAATTAACCAAATTTAATTGATATGCATTTAACAATGTTATTTTTGGTCAACTCATGTGCTTAAATTACACAATTATTATTTTTTTGAAAGGTAGCCTTTTTTGAAAATATTATTTATATATTAAATTATTTAACATCTAAGCATGATCTTTATATTTCTATTTTTAATTATTTAATTATTGCAATAAAAATAAAAGTATTAAATTATTATAAATAAATAGAAATAAATACAAATTTATTTTAATGACGGTTTTTTGATTAGTTATAAAATTTTTTAATTTGATTATTATAAAATCTAATCATAAATACTGGAAAATATTTAAAATTCTGATATTTTTTAAATAATAATCAATATTATTATATTACTATAAAGAGTTCTTGCAGTAAATTTTTTATTATTTAATTGTTGAAATAAACAGAATATTTTAAAATATATTTTAAATTATTTTAAATTATTTGCTATGATTGGTGGAAGAGAGGAAATAGGTAAAAGTTGGATTTAATAAAAACTTAAATTACAAAAAAAAAAAATCGATTTAACATTTCTTAGATTGGTTCAAGGGGCCGAACCCGAATGGAGAACAATTTGGATCAGGGAATTATGCAAGAGAGACGAACGAGCCAGCCTTGTTGGGTCCTGTCAATCAGTATATATATTCATCTTCTTTGTGTTTTGGGAGGTAGGGTTTATAAATTCATCATTAACCCCAAGGGATAGAACCCGCCGCTTCCCAGTAACTCTGCACGTGGCTGTGGTTTCATACAATCTTACAACAGAGATGGATGCTATGAAACCTGTTGCGAAACAGCTAGAGAAAGAAGACGACGACGACGACGAAGATGAAGGAAGCATCACGCATCATGAAGATGCAGTCCTTCCGTCGAATCAGTAATTAACCAAAACCAAAATAATCTTGCTTCGTCTCTTGGTTGAGCCTCCTTTTCGGCGATCTCCACATTGTAGGTATCAACTGTAACCTCCGGTGACCACAACCCAGGAAATACCAACTCCGGAGAAGCCTTGTCGATGTCCTTATTCGTTAGTGGTAACAGAACTTAACCCTCTCATTATTTTCTGACAGTCCTCCTCTTTCCATCGTTCTAGGCGACTTCATTACCTCACTCTTCATCCGCCAAGAATTCACTCTCCTTTCCTTAATCCTCAATCCTTTATTGTTGTTGCTGCTGCAGTCGACATTCTGGTGGGTGTTTCCCACTCCACCAATCGATGCCTTACACGCTGACCTCCTGGTTCTCAGATTCCATGGCCTCACCTCTTCAGCCGCTGCAGGGGATTCTTCTCTTTCCTTCTTCCTGCTGTATATCTTGCTGCTGGCTCTGTCGTCGAGGTAATAAGCAAGCAATTTTGTAAAGTTACTGTAATGGTTCTTAATGGTTTTGTTGTGCTGTTTTTCCGTCTTGATCTTTGACCAAGTCACATCTTAAACTTTTCAAATTCAAAAATATTTTTTTTGAAAGAAAAAGTGTAACATATTCTAAGTATCAAGGAGATGCAACCTGTATATACAAATATTTTGCAATTCATGAAGATATTAATAACTAATGTAGAGACTAGAGCTAGCTTATATAACGTGAATGTTGCTTAATCTATTTCTTTAGCAAAATGCTCTACAGTCGTTTTCGGTGATAAATATGGCATTTGGTTGACCTCTGTTTTTGTTCAGATGTTCTTTCCGTTCTATTAGTCTCAAGTTCTTGTTGTAGGATAACAAGTTCTAATGCAAATTAATTGGAAATTTAAGAAAAGGGACAAGGACGATATTGTGTTTCAAAATTCTAATCATTATTAAAATCCATCACTCTAGTTCTCAAAAAATACAAAAAATTAGATTTTATTAAGTTAAAATATCTAAGGGATTAATTATTTTGCAATTTACTTTTGATGATTGTGTGTGATATCAGGTTTATCATTGTCAATGTGTATGTTTGAGCTTTCAAATGTTTGGGCATCAGCAGACCAATTTGTTAACTTCAAGAATAATTTCCAGTACAGTTCTGTTAGTCATTATAAGCCAATTTATATTTCAAAGTTAGAAAGTTAAATATGGTTGTTTTATCTTATAGTTAGCAGAGAGGGTTGCCAAACAGGAGTTGGATTCTGCTTTTGCTACCAATAGACCTCCAGGGCATCATGCCGAAGAAGATAAAGCTATGGGATTCTTTTTTTTTAACGATGCGGCTATTGCAACATGCTTTCTGTTAAATGAAAGAGTAAGAGTCTGTTTTAATTCTTTAGATATAGTTTTCTTACCCGAAATTATTAATCAATTGTATGTATAATTGCATATATGGATTTAGATTAGATGTTTCTTTTTTCATCCTTTAATAAGTTGTTTCCTTGTTAACCATATACGTTTTTCTATTTTTCAGCCAAATTTGGGTCTATATAAAATCTTGATTGTTTAAATAATTTGAGTTTGTTAAGTATGATTGATTGGATCTTGAATCTTGTTTCCTGTGTTTGCATCTAATATATGTAAATTAAATCGTTGATTATATCAGGTTAGAGGCTTTTTAGCAATTAAGGAGTATTGATGAATACTTGAACTAAATTCTAATAATTTACCTTTCTGGTTGTCATTTTCAGTTATATATCCTAAGTGTTTTAGTATGCTGATTTATACTAGTAAACTAGTTTATCCATATTGTGGTTATACTTGGTTCTTGTGGAGAATCTATGGCAGATTCTTACATTTTTTTTTCCTAATTGTGTCGACATTAATGTTTCTTTATAGATAATATGTATTGATTAACTATTTCAAAAAAAACTATGTATTGATTTACAACTTTTAGGTTTAAATATTACTTAATGCAGTTATTGCAGTCTTGCCCCATTTGTTAATATTAGTTGGGACGAGTACCTGAATATTTCTATTGGTTACAATTTCGGTTTAGGTTTAGTCTTATTTTGCATTGACCAACGTAGTCTCGGAAATGCATCCATTTGTGTCATCTATAAATGCTATACCGTAACCATGATCATGCACACTTTATTGATGGATAATGCATCCTCTTAGTTTTCCTTTCAAAGAATACAAGTAACATCATGATATTCCTTGGTGTTGCAGCTTCTCTTCTACAAGGCCAGTAATTCATGAACATATGCAAATGCAATTACTTTTCACGACTAAAGTAATATCTATTTGTCTGTCTGACTATCCAACAAACATATCCAGATGATTATAGTCCTCTTCAGTAGAATGCCGAATGTGCGTGTAACCCACTTTCTCATGTTTGTGAGTTTCTAAACTTCAATTCTATTCACAGTCAGTGCATATTTATTAGCCACTATTTTTTGTTAGTTCCTAAACTTCAATTTTCTAACATTTTTATCTTGGTATTGATAGTCTTAAATCTTTTTCTTTTTAGGTTCTGTATCATTTCTCCATCTTGGTGTTGAGTGGGTTAGAGTTATGGAATGTTTTCATTAATTGACTTTCTCCTTGCCACCATAATTGTATAAGCTATGTTGTGGCTTGTTCTGGTAGAAGTTTACTTTGTTGCTCGCTAGTGGGCTTTATAAATCACAATTTGACAAGTTAATTTGTTATATTTGGCATTGTGAATTGTCTCGCTATGATATTCTTCCCTTGCGTAATTAATGAGAAGAAGCATATAAAGTAAAAGTTCTCTATTTGTGTATATTGGATAATCAATTTCATGCTTTTGATGCTCAGTTAGGTTGGTGGTTCATTTATAAGAGGTTTATTTTCAATGTAATTGGTTTGCTCAAGAATGGATTCAAACCTGAAGTATTTTTATTGTCATAAGCTCTTTTTTCTGAACAGAGAGGGTTTGGCACTTGTCTTTTCCTGCAGAATATTGAAAAGATCTTCTTTTTTCGTTGGATGCTATATTCTCATATTGCGCTCATCCATTTATCTTCCCAGTCTTAAAGAGTTGCATCTGGACAATGTCATTTTTACTGGTGATGATTTGTCAGAGGAATTATTCTCATATTGTCCAGTTCTGGGATCTGTGCAATTGTCGAATTGCAATCTGTCTTTTCTAAAGGTTTTGAATGTTTCTGCTCTGACTCAAACATCTTCAAATAGACTATTGTGGTGAGCTCAAAAACATTGAGATCAATATTCTTATTCCAAGTCGTACATCATTTATATGTAGAGGAAATATTGCACAAAACAATCATATTTCGGACAACCCTTCTCTTCTCTATGCAGATATTCAAGTTGGAGCATTTTACAGAGATCAGATGAGTACAGATATTCCTGGTGCACTGCGTTTAAGTTGCTTACTGAATTCCGTAATGTTATTGTGCTCGCTGTGATAATTTGTCTTGGGAGGTATATGCTTTGTCCATTTCTTATATATTATGTACATTCACTATTCACAAGATAATAAATATGAAGAGAGTTGAAGGTTTAGGAACCCACCAGCATGAGAAAGTGGACGCTACGTACGTCAGTATTAAACTGAGAAAGATTATATTCATCTGTGTATATTTTTTGGACGATCAGATCAACAGATAAACATTGCTAAGGTTGCGAAAAATAATTGCATTTGCATATGTCCATGAATTACTGTCCTGTTAGAAGAGAAGCTGCAACACCAAGGAATATTGTGAGGCTACTTGTACCTTTTGAAAGGAAAGCTAAGAGGACACAGTATCCATCAATCAGGAGCAAAGTAAAAACAAGTTATTCTCAAAAAAGGAAAAAACTGCAGGCACAATAACCTTCATATCTGTCCGCTTTGGAATGGAGCTCTGAAACAAGCATGGGTTCGAACGGCATAGCCATAATATTTATGTTTCTTATTTGAGAAAAAAAAAACAAAAGTTGATGATAGTAACAAATCTAAGATTATTGAGAAGTTATTGACATTTTTAAGAGTTTCAACAAAAGCGAACTACTTCTCTTGTAATTTAATTTTATTTGCTGAAAAGAAGTAATAAAGATTGTGCTAGTTATTTTTAACACAAGCAAGGGGTTATATTTGTACTAAATGATATGCCCTTATCAATATTCAGTTGAGAAGTGATTGGGTTAAATTCTTTCATTGGCAGTGCTATAACGTAAATGTTACTACTTACTGTTGGGAATTTGTAGACTGAGAAAATGGGAAGTATCAATACTAAAATAATCATTCTTTTGTAGGCAACATAATTGCCTAGTCTTGTAAAATTGAGAATGAAATTTTTATTTTATGCATGTCATGAATTAGCAACTGCATTTAATTTTTTTAAAAAAATTTAATTATTTCAAACTTTTTATTAACAAAATCTCTATGAATAAGATCAAACCTTAAATGAATATTATCTCTTGATGGCACTATGCAAATTAATTATTTTCTTATTAACGTTGGTTTATAATGAGACTCTTGATATTATTAAAGAACTAATTAATGATCTAATTATATTTAATGAGTACGGTAACAATTTTGGAAATTGTAAAGAAAATAAATTATGAATTTTGTGCAGAAACAAAATAAATAGTTAGGGTTCACATTAGTTACACATAAACTTAATGTCCCAAATAATGTTACAGAAATTACCCGTTTGAAGGAAATACAAAAAATTAAGGAAACAAACGAAAAATAAAATGAAATTGGCATCCTACTCGCAGCCCTCTTGCGGATCGAGCTCTGTATCATAGTTCTCTTGATCTGAAATGATTAAATAAGAAATGAACTACACTAGCCCAGTAAGAATATCACACTACTTATCGACATAGAAATGAAAGTTGATAGAAAACCAAAATAACTAATGAAGCACTTAATCAAACAAATGCATTTATTAATAATAAAATCATTTACCATTCACTTATCGCAGCGGGGTTTCCAAAAATAACCTATACAAACAATAATATAGCACTTATTATGATTTCATATGCAATCGGTAACATGCACACATTATAAATTCATATTCAATAAATCAAATAACAGCTGTCCTTTTCTATCAGCCTGCTGGTATCCATGGAGGTTCATAGGAATGTCCCTGTTACGTGTGAATTCTTTTTTTTAACATTCTTAATTAACGGACCGTCCCCATACCCCGTCCGGTATGGGTGCCAAATTACTAAATCTCAATACTTCGTTCGGTATAAGGGTAAAACGGGCATTCTCAATACCCCGTCCGGTATGAGTGCCAAATTAGCAAGTCTCGATACTCTATATGAGTGCCAAATTAACAAATCTCGATACTCTATCCGGTATGAGATAACGTTCACGGTAGGGTTCCCTATTGTACTCAGTCTATCAACTATCTCTCAGGATACCCAGTAAAGCTGTGGTTTCATTCATTCACTTAATCATATAATTTTTCGTTTTTTTTAGTCTCAATTTTTCAATTTAACCGTAATCACATAAATAAACAAACATGCATCAGGGAATGCAATAATCTCTGGGTTTTCTAATTTAACAGTAGTCACATAAGGCAGTAATTCATGCATTCAAAATCATAAAATCGATAAACCGAATATTATTATGCATTCAAACTGTAAAATAAATCGACAGACATCAACAGATAATATTTTTTAGTTTTGTCTCCATTAGTAACCCGTAATTAATTATAGATATTTTTTAATTTATAAGAAATACCATATTATTATTAATTTAGACTTCAAATCCATAACAAAGAATATGGTGAGGGATTCTTACTCAATTTGATGCGTGAAATACTAAATTATTAACTTTGCCTACTGGTGGTCCCCGGGTTTTCTGAATTTTTCTTTGAGAATTAAAACGCACTATAAGTACAAATGTTCTAAAAAATTCAAAATCAGTCTCAGGGTTCAAATTTGGCCAATTTCAGAATTTCGGCACGACGGCTCTACCATGCTTCGGCGACGATGCCGCCGCCTACAGTAGCGATTTACCTCGGATCGACTGTTTTCGACTGATTTTGTATCGATCCTGCAAGAAAATATGTTCAGGGACTGCGGTTGGCCGAAAAAATATAAAAAATCAAAACTTATCGGCCGCGGGACTCTCCGGTGCGGCAGCTCTTCCGGCTTACATTGCAGTTGGGTGTTTTGCTCCGGTCAACCTCTAGAGAAGGAAACGGTGATTATAATAGTGAAAAAACTACGCCGAATGGGAATCGGGAAGGGTCTCATCGGAGGCATTTTATGAAATTCTCTGCGACGGTGTCGTCAGGTTTTACCTATAGTTTTCGACCTATTGGCCAGTTGTTTTGCTCTTATTTGGCCATGGGGTGTTTAAAATTGAATTCCGAGTAAAAGAGAAAATTTTTACCTTTTTTGGCAGTCGGAAGTTGCTCCGGCGCGGCGGCGGGTGGCGGCGGCTCTCATTCGCGGTGGTTGGGTCTTCTTCTCCGGCGAGGGTGGGTGGCGGCTAAGATTAGAGTTTGGTATGAATGAAGTTATTTATATCCGTCTCCATTTAATCTGGACCATTCATCGCGTTTGATCTGAACCGTCCAATCGCGATTAAATAAGAAATAAATTTGGATCGTTCATCGCGATCTAATATAGACCATCTAATCGTGTTTAAATCTGACCGTCCGATCGCGTTTGGGGAGGGAACGCATCCAGGCCGTCCGTGCCCGCGGGAACGGATATGGGTCGTTCGATTGCGGGCATGCGGATCGCCCGCGTGGCCTCCTGCATAGCACCATGTTAGTGTCTGTTGCCACGCGGCATGTCTTGGTTCGTCGGGACTGCTGACCGGGCATCTTATGTGACAAAACTTTTTTAAATTGTATTTTGATCATCGATTTCTGATTTTTCTTTCAAAAATACTCACAGAACCTAAATTTTCACCATTTTTTTCCAAAATTATTTTCCATTTCATTCTCCATCACATTTCCTTCATTTTTACACTAAATTAAAATTAAAAAAATTAAAAAATCGTATTTATAATTAATTTAATTTACAATTAAATTAATTTAGGCATTACAAGTATAGTTTTCAGAAAGTAATTAATACATATTTCTATAAACAGAACGAAATAAATAGAAATTTATTTTGATTATGGGTTTTTGATTGATTATAAGAAATTTATAATTAAATATATATAGATTGATTTTACTTTAATTATTACCAAATTTAATAGTAATTGGTGTTATTATATTACTATAAAGAGTTTTCGCATTAATTTTTTTTATTATTTAATAATTATTTTTTGTTTAATAGTTGAAATTTAATTTTATTCAAAAATAAATAAATATAATACTTTAAAATATATTTAAAATTATTTAAAATTATTTACTGTGATCAAATATTATAGGCAAAAAAACTGATTCAAAATTTAAGAATTATTTAAAAAATGATTTTATAAAATAATTTTTTTCTTTGGTGGAAGAGAGGAAAATAGGTAAAAGTTTGATTGAATAGAAACTTAATTACAAAAAAAAAAAATTGATTTAACATTTTTTGGATTAGTTGAAGGGGCCTGACCCAAATGAAGAATAATTGGATCAAGGGATTTTGCAAGAGAGACGAATGAGCCAGCCTTGTTCAGTGCTGTCAGTCGGTATATATTCATCTTCTTTGTGGTTTGAGAGGTAGGGTTTATAAATTCATCTTTGATCGCGTCGCTTCCGAGCTGTTGAATAGATTGAGGGAAGTTTGCATGTAGCTGGGGTTTCATAGAATCTTACTAAAAAGATGGATGCTATGAAACTTGTTGCAAAACAACAAGAGAAGAGGATGACGATGACGATGAAGATTAAGGAAGAATCAGGCATCATGAAGACTCCAACTCTAAGATGCAGTCCTTCCGCTAAGTAAATGATCAACCAAAATAATCTAGTCTCCTCGGTGAGGCTCTTTTTAGTCTTTTATCATTATGCTTTTGTACTTGATTTGGATTGCGTCATGATCGATTGAAGAGGAAATTGAGGAAAGCAAGAGAAAAATTTTTATCTTTCATTTTAGTCATTGGTTGTTTAGGTCAAGCAATGAACTTGACTAAAAAAATGATCTGGGTGACTTCATTTATAATTTGGGTCAACTTGGATTTGTGGTCATTTTTGTTTAAATAATTTGATTTTGTTAAATATGATTAATTGGATTTTGAATCTCGTTTTCTGTGTCTGCATCTAGTATATGTGAATTAAATTATTGATTGTAGCAGGTTAAAGGCATTTTATCAATTAAGCAATACGGAGGGATACTGGAACTAAATTCTTGTAATTTACCTTTTAGTTCTCTGGTTTTCATTTTCAGTTATATATCCTAAGTGAACTAGTATACCGATGTTCAAAATTCAATTTATCCATATTGTGGTTATACTTGTTTTTTGTGGAGAATCTATGGCAGATTCTGACATTTTTTTCTCTAATTGTGTGAAAAATAATGTTTATTTGTACATAGTATGTATTGATTAACTATTTCAAAAGAAAAATTATAGTATTGATTAACCACTTTTAGATTTAAATATTACTTAATGCAACTATTGCAATCTGGCCTTATTTGTTAATATTGGTTGTGACGAGTACCTGGACATTTTTGCTACTTAAAACTTAAGGTTTGATTTAATTGCATTTTGTATTGACCAACATAGATCTCGGGAATGCATTTATTTGTATCATTTATAAACAGTAGACCGTAACCAAGATCATCACAATTGATTGATGGATAATGCATCCAGTTAGTTTTCTTTTTAAAGAATACAAGCCTCGTGATTTGTTGTTGTCTAACTTTTTACTATTTCAAGATTTATTATTAATTTACAATATAATTAACTAAATCTAACACCATATCTTATATTGACAACACTTTTTACAATAAGCTTTATGCACTCTTTAAAAATGGCCTAAAATTGGAGGAGGTTGAACAATCCCCAACAAAAGCTTTCGTGAGCCATTTACAGAAGGACGCCATTGGGATGGCCCACGTTCGAGAAGAACAAGTGGGTCGACAACATAGATTGAACTGAACGGGGCAGGTACAACCCGTTTTGTCCTTACTCGAGCAAGCTTCCCGTGCCCTAGTCTCCACTAACGCCGCCTTAAAG